CTGGGGACACCCTGGGGACACCCTGGGGACACCCTGGGGACACGGCCAGCGCAGGGCTGGTGACACTGCCGGAGTCAGGAGCTCCACGGGCTGGGGGCCGCTGCCACCCCGCCAATGTCACCGAGGGGTCGAGGCCACTTCTGGGCCGGGGTCACCACAGCGCTGGAGTCACCCACAGCGCCAGGGCCACCGCGAGGGCCGGGGGACACAGTGGCACTGGGGACACTGCGGTGGCAAGGCCACTGCCGGGGTCAGTGCCATGGCTGGTGGTGGAGTCACCGCTGGGGCCGAGGTCTCTGCACTGTCCCTGGTGTTCCCAGTGTCCCCACATCTCCAGGGTCTCTGGTGCTCCCTGGTGTCCCCATGTCTCTGGTGTCCCTGGTGTCCCCGGTGTCCCCACGTCTCCAGGGTCTCCAGTGACCCCGGTATCCCCAGTGTCCCTATATCTTCAGAGTCCCCAGTGTTCTCTGTGTCCCTCAGTGTCCCTGGTGTCCCCATATCTCCAGAGTCTCTGGTGTCCTCTGTGTCCCTAGTGTCCCTCAGTGTCTCTGGTGTCCCCATATCTCCAGTGTCTCCAGTGTCCTGTGTCCCCAGTGTCCCCATATCTCCAGAGTCTCTGGTGTCCCTGATGTCCCCAGAGTCCCCGGTGTCCCTCAGTGTCCCCGGTGTCCTTCAGTGTCCCCGGTGTCTCTGGTGTCCCTCAGTGTCCCCACGTCTCCAGTGTCCCTGCTGTCCCCATATCTCGAGGTACTCTGGTGTCCCCTGGTGTCCCCATGTCTCCAGGTTCTCTGGTATCACTGCTGTCCCCAGTGTCCCCAGTGTCCCCACATCTCCAGGGTCTCTGGTGTCCTCAGTGTCCCCGGTGTCCCCATGTCTCCAGGGTCCCCAGTGTCCCCGATGTCCCCATGTCTCCAGTGTCCCCGATGTCCCCATGTCTCGAGGTCCTCTGGTATCACTGGTGTCCCCAGTGTCCCCGGTGTCCCCACGTCTCCAGGTTCTCTGGTATCACTGGTGTCCCCAGTGTCCCCGGTGTCCCCGGTGTCCCCACGTCTCCAGGTTCTCTGGTATCACTGGTGTCCCCGGTGTCCCTGGTGTCCCCATTGTCCCCGGTGTCCCCGGTGTCCCCACGTCTCCGGTGTCCCCGGTGTCCCCGGTGTCACCGCTCGAGGAAGCGCAGGCTGATGGGGGCGCCGGGGGCCAGCAGGGTGCGGGTCATGGGGCGCACGCGGCCCCCGCCGGGCTCCGGCCGCACCTCGAAGCGCAGCAGGATCTGGGGGAGCGGGGACGGGTGAGTGACACCGTGGGGACACCGAGGGACACCGAGGGGACACCGGACACCCACCTGTGCCAGCGCCATGTGCAGCTGCAGCTCGGCCAGGCGGCGCCCGACGCAGCTGCGGGGGCCGAGGCCGAAGGGCAGAGAGGCAAAGGGGTGCCCGGGGCCGGGGGTGTCCCCGGGGATGTCCCCCGGGGTGTCCCCCGGGGTGTCCCCGGCGGTGTCCCCGGTGTCCCTGTGGCGCAGCCAGCGCTCCGGGAGGAAGGTGTCGGGCGCCGGGAAGAAGCGGCTGTCGCGGGACGTGGTGTAGTGGCACAGGGTGATGAGGGTCTGCAGGGACACCGGGGTCAGCGGGGACACCCTGGGGACGCCTCGGGGACACCGGGAGCCCCGGGTGGGTGGGGGGTGTCCCCCAGCTCACCTGGCGTGGCACCAGGTAGTCGCCGACGCGGATGTCGCGGTCAGGGACAACGCGGGCGTTGGCCGGGATGACGGGGTACAGCCTGCAGGTGACACCGCTGTCACCTCCCTGTCCCCGCCTTCATCCTCATCCTCACCCCCATCCTTGTCTTCATCCCTTCCTTGTCCCCTCCTCACCCTTACCCTGTCCTGGTCTTCACCATCCCCATCCTCCTCCTGCTTGTCCCCATCCCTGTCCCCATTTTATCCCAAACCCGTCCTGTCCCTGTCCCCATTTTATCCCAAACCCGTCCTGTCCCTGTCCCCATCCCTGTCCCATCCCATCCCTGTCCTGTTTCTGTCCTGTCCCCATCCCTGTCCTGTCCCTGTCCCCATTTTATCCCAAACTCATCCTGTCCTGTCCCCATTTTATCCCAAACTCATCCTGTCCTGTCCCCATCCCTGTCCCATCCCATCCCTGTCCTGTTTCTGTCCTGTCCCCATCCCTGTCCTGTCCCTGTCCCCGTTTTATCCCAAACCCATCCTGTCCTGTCCCCATCCCTGTCCTGTCCCTGTCCCCATCTTTATCCACATCCCTGTCCCGTTCCCATCCCCATGTCC